AGGAAACTGGAACGACTATAGGGTTTACCTCATTCTTTCCCTTCTCTCAGGGATTATCAAACTGTACTGCTTGTCATTCAATGACTGAAAACCATTGTTTCAAATATTTTGTCTGGTTCTTTCTAGTTGTTTAATATGTAAAGGTAAATCTGGTCTGGTCTCTGTTACTCCATCATAGCCAGATGAACAATACAATTTTAACACTGAAAATAAGACTTTGTGCCTACTGAAGCAAAGTGGATCTTGCTTCATTGCCATTCATACACCTAGTAATATTGACTTATTTAGAAGTGATGTCAGCAGGATGACTGAATAAGCTGTCCCTCGCATATATCCTCCTCTCGACAACAATAATTTGACATGGCTTCCCAGGTGGCTCAGTGGTAAAGAATCTGCCTGCCAATGCAGGAGATGCAAGAGATGTGTGTTCAATCCCTGGGTGGGGAAGATTCCCTGGAGAAGGAAATGGCACCCCACTTCAGTATTCTTGCCTGGAAAATCCCACGGACAGAGGAGCCTGGCAGGCAGCAGTACATGGGGTCACAAAGAGTCCGATAGGACTGAACACACAGCATTACATGGAAAACGTGTCTTTATGGGAGCTTTGGGATCCAGACTGGAGGTTGTGAAACTGAAGTATAGTCTCAGACCGAGGGCCATTTTAAGAAGGCAGGTTCACCACCATATGGCTGACTTGTGAACTGTGGTCTCGCCTACAGACAAACAGTCCCATACCCATAAGAACTCAGCTACAGCCCCTTTGGGTTTGGGTCCGTTACCAGCACCAGTTACCGAGGAACCTTGGAGGAGTTATGCCCACCTGAGCACTGGATAACAGAAGTAGCTTGTACACTCACTCCAGACCCTCTTGACCACAGTCTGAGAACCCCTAAAGGTAAGCCTGTGAAACTTAGTCTGAACGCAAACTCTAAAAGGTTCTTATAACTGGGCTCCAGTCCATTCCAGCCAGAGTCCATAAACAATCCTGTTGGTTCAGGAACCCTGCAGAAAACACTCCTGTCTGCAACCCTGGAGATCTTGAAAGGGCCTTACACTGGGAATCTAAGGACCTAAGCATCCCCAGAGACAGATGAGTGAACAAAGAAAAGGACATGAATACATACACTACTGAATATTATTTCACCAGGCAAAAGAAGAAATCTTGCCATTTGCAGCAACGTGATGGACCTTGAGGGTAGCAGGCTAAGTGAAATAAGTCAGAGAGAGACAAATATCATGTGATTTCACTTACATTAGAATCTTTAAAAAAGCCAAACCAAAGTAGAATGGTGGTTGCCAAGGATGGGAAGTAGGGGAAATGAGATATTGGTCAATGTGTACAAAGTTACAGTCACAGGTCCAGTTATAAAATAATAAGTTCAGGGGATCTAATATTCAGTATGATGACTACAGTTAAAAATACTGTATTTGACAGTTGCTGAGATAGTAACTGTATTTGATAGATGCTGAGATAGTAAACCTTAAGTAGTCTTACCAAAAAAAAAAAAGGTAATTATGTGAAGTGATAAACATGATAAGAAATATTATTGTGGTCGCAATACACACATGCATTAAATCATCAGGTTGTACATCTTAAACTTGCACAATGTTTTGTCAATTATATCTAAGTAAGGCTGGGGAAAAATAGACACTGCCTTCTAAGCACAAACAGAAAATCTTCCTTCTGATTCTATTTTTAGATGAAATAGTTACATAGTCCCAGAGTAGAGTAATGCCCAAATCAAAAAATTTATTCTTAATTTTGATCACCTCAGGGAGTATCACTACTCCAGTCACAAAGAAGCAAGCTTACCACTCTTATTATTGTACATAATTCAGGGTGAATGCAAAATTTTACACAAAAATAAAGAGCAAAGGTTCTCTGAAAAAAAAAAATCATGTTATAATAGGAGTAATTATTACATATTATTGGGCTCAAATTTTAACATACCATGGTTCTAGAGCATGAATAAACAGACCAATGAAACAGAACATTCTCCAAATAGACCCACATATATGGGAATACAGAATTTGCTAAATGTAACATGCCAAACCTATGGAGAAAAGAAAAAATTATTTGTCCTTTTTCTTCTCAAGACTCTCCCAATAAGTGATTAGCTCAACAACTTTATCCTTAATTCAACTTTACTTTGATTAAATTTGGCCAAATGAACTGACTACTTTTCTTATCCTCAAAGTGGACAGAGGCTGTTTTAATTTTACCATACTTGGAATGCAAGATGTTGTGTTTATCTATGTCTATGTACCACAAATATTATTTAAAAGAAAGATCCTGCCTTCTTTCAGGGCTGTGAGGCATATGAGTACAAACACAATATACGGAAAAAAGTCTTTTGACTGTTGAAAGTAAAACAATTACAAGAAAGCAAATACCGGTAGTGGTAGTGTGGTAATAACAACCCATCATTACAGTTCAAGAACACACAGGTTTCCGTCATTACAGTACTGTGTAAAAGAACCAATGGGTTTATAACCTTCATTTGTGGAGAAGCCTGAGGCATGAGAGGAATAACTAATTTATATCTGTGCAATCTCAAGTTCTTCTGTAATTACCAGTTGGGACTTCTGCCAGTGGTTCTATGTTTTAACAGGTCTGGATTTGTATACATCTGTCTAAGGAAGATACCAGTACTGGGGACTGTAAGTTCACTTCCTTAGTGTTTGACCTAAGAGAGCTTCCAGATACTACAGTAGGCCTCCTTAGCAGCATATTCTTAATGGGCACTGGCTGAGCTTCATCCCCAAGTATAGCATGAGAGAATGAAAGAGATTGCATTTCTAGAAGATGCCATTTTAAAAATAAACTTTCTCTGCTTTTATTTTCCCTACCCTGTCTAAATGGACATTACTGAAAATGAATCACAGCTAAGTTACCTGCTTGGTCCTTTAATATGTAGTTACCTAAACTTGTGGTTTTATGAATAGATGTGACATGTTTTCTTCACTTCCGAATCCCTTATCTTTTTTTCTTTCTCTTAATCCCTCCTCTCTCCTCACCTTCTTTTTTTCTTCTTGAAGAATGATATATGTGGCTCTCTAAACTCATAATTACTACATCACCATCACCTTTCGTGTCTCCACGTCTTGGTTCTGTGCTATTCCTTTTGATTAGATAATTTTACCATCTTTCTTTCCTAGATCACTTGTATGTACAGGTGACCCGTACACAACATAGGGTTGAACTGCATGGGTCCACATATGTGTGGATTTTTTTTTTAACAAATACATTGGAAAGTTTTTTGGAGGTTTGTGACAATTTGAAAAAACTTGCAGATAAAACACATAGCCTAGAAATATAGAAATAATTAAGAAAAAGTTAGATGTCATGAATACCTAAAAAATACGGAGATATGGAGATCATATAGGCATAATGTGAGTGATATTTACTATAAAATTAATAATGTGTTAGTTTTCTTACCATTTATAACTTTGTTTTCAAAGAATCATATTACAGTACAGTATACCACTCTCCCAAAACTGAAGAAACTATGTATCAGCTATTGTCATGGGCAAGAGGCTTTTTAAAAATGTAAATTTTCCAATACTGTGTTATGAATTTGACTGTAATACTGTACACCATACAAATTTTATAATGGAGTCATTCATGGTGTATAGGCTAGGCCATTATGAAGCAATCATACTGATAATACTAGGCTACTATAAAGGAATCATATCGCTGCTTCTTCATGATCAATGCATGAAATAAATACAAATTTCTTTTTCACAGATTTTTCCATTGTTGACATTAAGTATAATACATATAACATCTACAGTGCTTCATAACACATAAGACTATATTTCTATATGTACTGATAGATGATTCATTTTATAAACAGATGATATAAACTTATAGTATTGATAAACACAGTGCATGTATATGTGTTCAGTTGCTCAGTTGTGTCGGACTCTTTGTGACTCCGTGGACTGTAGCCCACCACAGTATAGTGTTGTAACTGTGTTTTCTCTTCCTTATGATTTTCTTAACAACATTTTCTCTAGCTTAATTTACGTAAGAATACAATATATAATGCATAACACATACAAAATATGTGTCAGATGAGAGTTTATATTATTGGTAAGGCTTCCGGTCAACAGTAGGCTATTAGTAGTTATGTTCTGGAGAAGTCAAAAGTTACACATGGGTTTTTAACTGTGTGAAGAGTTGGCACCTCTGACCCCCTCCACTGTTCAAAGGTCAACTGTATTCTTCAAGGTTCAGCTCAGAATCCATCAGATGGACTAATGTGTCAAGTTACATGTCCAGTTTATCTGTAAATATTTGTTCATGAATAAATGAAAGCATAACTGAAACAGTTGCTATTGTTGTTTAGTTGTTGTTTTTAGTTGACTCTTTTGTGATCCCATGGACTGTAGCCTGCCAGGCTCCTCTCTCCATGGGATTTCCCAGGCAAGTATACTGGAATGGGTTGCCATTTCCTTCTCCAATGGATCTTCCTGACCCAGGAATGGAACCCTGTCTCTTGCATTGGCAGGAGGATTATTTACCGCTGAGCCACCAGGAAAGCCCCATGAATAAAACAAGTCTTCCCTAAATTTTCTCCTTTCTGTTTCTTCATACCGATGACTCAAGAATAAGTCTACTAAGACACTATGGTGGATCACAGTCTAGGCTTAGAGTCTGACTTTGCTTCTCTGAGTTCAAATCCTAGCTTTACCCACTAAATAGCTTTGCAAACTTATTTTCCCTTTTGGCTCAGTATCTTCATCCTTACAACTGTGACCATAATACCATCTCTTGCATAGGGGTATTGTGAGACTATGATGAGATAAGTCATGAAGGGCCTACAATAGCATGTAAGGACTTTAAAAAAAGTAGCGATTATTATGAATAGGTGCTTATTTCTTTGCATCACATTCAATAAGTCATCAACTCTGCAATCCAATAGTCTTCCAAAATCTCTCCTAAAATGGCAAAATTCTCATGTTACCACAAGAAAAACTGCCTGAATGTGACAGAATGTGAAAATTATGCTTTTTATTATATTCACATAAAATAGTCAATTACACCGAGTTGTCCAAATGCGTTGGTGAATTAAAGCCTTTAACTCTTACAAAGTTTTATACATATATCTATGCATTTATAAATACACACATATGTAAAAGATATATATTTTCTTCTAAAATAAAGTGCCCAAATCTTAATATATGGGGGCATAATAGGGGAAAAAAGAATCATAAAGCTTTATCAGTTATAGACTATTTCACAATATAAGAATCTGATTTATACACATTTATTCAGGTATAGTGAGCTCTAATCATTCATTCTTTTCTGAATTCTAAATGAATTAATTTATCCAATATATTAGAAGCCATGTAGCCAGTTTAAGTGAATCAGAGGCTAATTCTTCTTAGTGTGCCTGTCACAGAACCTGGGCTCCCCAACAGAAGAAGTAGTTAAGCTTCATTTTTAATTCCCCTGTTTATTTGAATGTTGTCTTTCTGCTAAGATGATAAACAGAGGTAGAAATGTAAATGAATAAACGTCCAATTCTAAATCCTCTATTAGCATTCAATAAAGTCAGGGTTTGGTGAAAAAATTCCTTTTGTCTTTATTTCACTCTGGGCTTGATGAGAAATGGCCTGGCAGATTTGAAATGAGGGGTCCTGCTGTCTCTGTTATAGTTAAGTCTTGTTGGAATCACAGAAGAATAATTAGGATGCAATGATCAATAAATAGATCAAGGAGACAGTCAACTCAAATTGAAATGAAACTCTCCATGACAATGGAAAACTTTGTGAGCGAATGTTTGAATTTAACAACAGGACAAAGGTTAAAGAAAACCTAGATGGTTTAAGATCATTCAGAAAAGCCTCACTTCAAATAGAAACTAAGACTCTATTCTTCAGTACAATGTCTCAGCTACTGTTACTGTGTTTTCATTGGGTTTTCTATTGCTTGCATGCATGCTAAGTCGCTTCAATCGTGTCTGACTCTTTGTGACCCTATGGACTGTAGCCCACCCGGCTCCTCTGTCCATGGGATTCTCTCAGGCAAGAATATTGGAGGGTTGCCATGCCCTTCTCTAGGGGATCTTCCTGATCCAGGGATGGAACCAACGTGTCTCCTGCATTGGCAGGCAGATTCTTTACCACTAGCGCCACCTAGGAAGCCTCATTTGTAGGTTTTGACAAGGAATAGAATTTAAAATGCTTCTGAGAAGACTTCAACCTATAGAAGCAAGGTGAAGATGCCTAAAAATAGCTTAATACGAACCCAGCCACTTTAGAATTTGGTGATTACATGTTCAAACTGCAATAGAGCATGTTTTATTCAAGCAGGCAAAAGAGAGATTGTCAGCACTGAAACTGCATTAAAACACTCTGCAACTTTCCAACATACGGAAGGCTGGGATCAGTGGGAAGCCCAAACTTTTCCCAGAGTCAGAACAAGGAATGTAGTATCTTCTTTTCTTTGGAGAAAGAAAAAGGGCAAGAAAATATTTCCAATTACCCAAACTGACCTGAGCAGGGTCTTCCCAAGGATGGAGCTGCCTAACTGCTGATTTTGGTGAGCATCTTATTAATGGCTTGCTTGACATGCGTGGTGGAGCTGCGTCGCCTCGTCTTGCCCTGGACCATCCTCCGGCGACGCACCTCTCGACACAGCTCGTAGAATATCTCGGTGATGTTCCCTTCTCCAGTGCAGGCAGAACACTCATAAAAAGCACATGCCAGTTCTGTGGCCAGCTTCTCCCCTTCTTCTGTACTGACCTGTCTGGAGTGGTCCAAGTCAGCTTTGTTTCCAACCAAGATGAGAGTCACGTTCTTGGGCTTTTTGATCTCATCCAGGATGTTCTTAAGTGGCAGCACTTCCTCAAAACTTCCTCGGTCAGTAATGTCATAGACCAGCACAAAGCCTTCCCCCCATCGCATGTGTCCTTCCCTCTGAATGGTGTCTTCCTGTTGGCAGGGAAAAAACAGCAGTCGGGAGACCTGGAAGTAATTGCAGTGTATAGATGCTGCAAATGCTAACAGTGATCCTTTCACAACCATTCCTTACATTCAGCAGCGTTGGAAATTCTTGGTAGACTGCCTGAACAAGCTGACCCTCTCAGTTTCGAATAGAAGCATAACTTAGGGAACTAAACATTTTCTAACTGCATGCAGCCTAACTTTGTGCTTCTAACTTTTTCTTGCCACATCATTAAATGTGTAACTGCAAGGACTATAAAGAAATTATCCTCCTAGTTGAGCACACTGCCTCTGAGATTTTTCATCACAATTAAACAACTGGCCAATAGGTAACAAACAAGTAGACCTTACCCCATCCTCTGAGATCAGAATTAGAGGCATAGCTTAGTGAAGTGGTTTTGATTTTGTTTTGTTTTTTAATCTTCTTTTCTTCAGATTAGAGACAATTAGCCACACACACACACACAAAGTGAAAAATTGTATAGAATCAAAGTAAAAGCTAGGAGATTTGGGCTTCATTTTCTATCTCAGCACCTTTTTTATATTATGCAGTCTCAATAATGATAGAAACTCAATTGCAGTGATTCTCAAAAGGGGTGATCTCTCCTTCTTAAGAAGGTAGCATTTGAAAGCATTCTTAAGCAGGTGTGATTTGAAAATGTATTGCCATTATAGGCTCAAATGACTTCTCCAGGCATGTATTTTCCTGCTGTCTCTCTCTTTAGAATCAGTACTGGAAGATGAGAGCATATATAGGGAGCAGGTAGTGATGAGAAGGAAAACTGTATAACTAGCTGCAAATATATTTCTTGGATTTAATAGTTTTATCAAGTAGTAAGTGAAAAGCAACATCATATCCTTCAGCTTCCTAACTCTCATTCTTAGTGGTCACCTCTATTCTGGGAGGGCTTCCCTTGCAGCTCAGCTGGTAAAGAATCTACCTGCAATGCAGGAGACCTGGGTTCGATCCCTGGGTTGGGAAAAACCCCTGGAGAAAGGAAAGGCTACCCTCTCTGGTATTCTGGCCTAGAGAATTCCATGAACTGTATAGTCCATGGAGTTGCAAAGAGTCAGACATGACTGAACGACTTTCACTTCTTTCTATTCTTGGGAACCAAGCCTTCCTATAAACTGTTTATAATTTCAGAACTGACTGGCTGCAAAGCAAATGTGTATCAGTTTCATTTTAAAATAAGTTGTTAGCGTTCAATGATGTGGCTCAAGTTTTTAATCTGATGTGATGAGGTTTAGAAAGAATATTACAGAAAAGATTCCTAAAATAAAGTATTCTGAAAAAAGATTCTAAGGTTATATAAGTCGAGAATATAAATATTGTAGATTTCTTTAAGATTCAAATTATATATATAAGCATATTAAAGGTACTGAGAACTTCTCCAGTAAAGATATATATTTAACTTGACCAGAGTATTTCAAAACACATTTAACCCTGAAAATCTAATATTAATATCCTGTGATCTCCCCATAATAGAGGTGAGAAATTCTACTTTAGATGATAGCATATGGATGTTAAGGTATTTTCAAAACCCCCTTGGAGCACTGAGTAATTTATATAAGGACACATATAAACTATTGCAAATAAACTGATATAAAGCATAACTAGATAATTAAGTCTTTAGGCATCATTATGTTAACCATAGAAAAGTGTCTTAATTCTGTTCATATTATGCACATCTCATTTTTATTTATCCAGAAATATTAGAGCTGAATTCCTTTTTCACCTGCCCAGCAGTATCTAGTATCTCCATGGTGACAACTTCATCATCAATGGTTGCTTGGTGTCGGTAGGTTGATTCTGAGGGAATGAGCAAAACGAAGGTAAAATGGTAAATAAACACATAATTAGATTTGATCCTTGAAATTATAAGTTAGCCTCCAGTGTATACCTGTTTCCAGAGCATTAGAATAACATGCAGCCTAAGGGGTGGAAGAAGGTGCCATTTTTATACTCTTAAGTTCTTGGGAGTAACAGGTTCTAATATGGGATCCACAGATGCTCAGGATATAGCCATGGGAGATTCCCTTTTTCTATTATTTTATTCTCCTGTGAGGCAAGCCTTCTAATACTCTTTTCTCTCTAAAAGGAGACTTCCACATCCTAAAAAGAGAAAGAGATTCCCACAAGGGCATTCTACCTTGAGACTCCTAAAAATACAGTTTAAGGAATCATGTTAATTCCTGTTCCTGACAAGATGCCAGGCACACAGGAGCTGCTCATTTCCATCTAGACCCCCACTCTAGGAATGTATTAAACATTAGAGGGAGGCAGATCGCTATTCGTGTAAAAAATGACTGTGGAAAGCTAGGAGGAACCCTTGGGGTGGTAGAAGGTGGTTGGACCCGTGTGTTCAGGGCTTGTAAGGAACGGTCACCCACAGTAGAGCAGGACTGAGGGAGAGAGAAAAATTCAGAGGCAGAAGAGGATGCTTAGTACCAGTTGGAGGCCGGTGACTCAGACAGTGAAGAATCTGCCTGCAATGAGGGATACCTGTGTTCCATCCCTGGGTTGGGAAGATCACCTGGAGAAGGGAAGGGCTCCACACTCCAGTATTCTTGCCTGGAGAATTCCATGGACAGAGAAGCCTGGAGGGCTATTGAGTCTGTAGAGGTTGCAAAGAGTCTGGCACGACTGAGACTAACACTTTCACTTCAAGATAACGTCAGAGGCATCTTCAAGCTCTGCTGGGGTCAGGAGAAGTCAGGAAAAATACAACCACTAGGTGGCTCTGAGTGTTCTGACGTGAAACGAGACCCAGGCATTAAAATGGTGCTGGTGCTGGTGCTGCTAAGTCTGTGCGACCCCATAGACGGCAGCCCACCAGGCTCCCCCGTCCCTGGGATTCTCCAGGCAAGAACACTGAATGGTGTTGCTCTATATGAAAATGAAACAAATGACATCAAGCACTCAATACATGATTGACTGAGTTGATGAAGTTCAGGTTGAAACATTCTTCCAGAAAGCACTAGTAAGTGATAAAAAGAAGGAAAATATGAAAGCAAAATATAAGAGGCATGGATAATAGAAACAGACATGTTATTTTCTCCTATAAAATGAGCCTCAAAGAGAGAATAAAGTACATAGAAGAGTGGAAAAGAGTTGAAGCTGAGGCTGTAGTAACAGAGAATTTCCCAGGACTAGAGCCATTGAACGGCTTCACATTAAAAGGACTATTAGTATAGAACAGATAAACAACAGGGTTCTACTGTATAGCACAGGGAACTATAGTCAATATTCTGTGATAAACCATAATGGGAAAAGAATATGAAAAAGAATGTTTACAGATGTATAACTGAATCACTTTGCCAGACAGCAGAAATTAACACAACTTTGGAAATTGACTATACTTCAATAAATAAAAGTTTTAAAAAAGGACTGACAGGACACATAAGGGGAAAAGCCCCAATTTCAACCTATTACAACAAAATGTAAAGATATCAATGACAAAGAGGAAAATTTTAAAAGATCTAAAGGAAAAAAAGTCCATCACCTACAAAAGCATGTGACTCAGACTGACACTGGACTTCTCATCAGCAAAACAGAATTCAAGATCCTAAAGGAATCAAGCAAAGCAACAAAACTATACCAGAAGCAATTCAGAACCACAAGTCTAGGGAACACCAAAATATCAGAGTGGAGATGCGGGAAGAGACCAGAGGCAGGTTTGAGGGAGTTAATGTACTTGTATTATTCCAAAAGATGATATAATAAAAAGGTATTTAGAACAGAAAAAAGTGAGCAAATTATTCAACTCAATGATTAGAAGAGGAAAACAAAGCAAATCCAAGAAGATATGAGAAAAGTAAAAGAAAATAGCAGAAAAAATTAGATAAGGTTAACAAAAGCAAAGCATGACACTTGGAAAATTTAAAAGTAGGTGGGGGAGAGGTAAAGAGCAGAGAAAACTAGTAAATAAGAGAGAAGGCGCAATCAAAAATAAGCATAAAACAGGAAGTATTTACACATTCTGATGAAATAGAAATAAAATAATGTTGTGAACTGTATACCAAACAAATTTTAAAGCCTGATTAATTCTTTGAGGAAAAAATGCACAGATTGGTACAATGAGAAATAAGACGCTTAACTAGGTCAATAGCCTGTGAAATTTAAATTTTAACTGTAGATTTCTTATGAGAAAAAAATGACTACCTAATTGGCTTTATAGATTTCTATTAAATATTAAACAAGTTGTTCTAGCGGTAAGAAAAAAAATGGATAGCTACCCACTACATGAATTCCAACAAGAAATATTAGAAAACTAATAAGAAGAGAAAAAGAAAAAAAATGTAGGTTCATTTTTGAACATAGATTCAAAAATTCTAAAAATTTCCAGTTGAATCCAACAGTATAATAAGAAAAATACATCATAAAATAGTAGAGTTTATTTCAGGAATGCAAAGTGTTTATAACCATCAGTGCAATTAACAAATTAAAGAACTAAATAAAAATCACTTGAGTACCTCTATAGGTAGATCTATAGCATGATAAAATGTATACAAATTTAAAATATGTGTATATATAGAATTTTTTTCAAAACTATGTAATAACTAACACATACTGCTTACCCTTTGAACACAAATTATTCTAAATGCCTTACTCATGTTAACTTCTTTATTCCTTAGAAATATTTCATGAAGTATGTAATACTATCAGATCTATTTTATGTGAAGAAACTGAGGTACAGCAATGTTTAATAAGTTGCTGAAGGTCACACAGATGTTAAGTGGTAAATGGTACAGTTATGACTGGAGCTCAGAAGACTGGCTTTGGGAATTTAGACTTTGAACCACTATGCTAAGTATCAACTGCATTTAGATTATATGCCTCTGGGCATAGAGGAAGGCAATGGTGTCAGAATAGGGGATGTAGGAAAAATAAAGTGAAGAAATAGCCTTCACATACACATGACATGGTGCTAGGTATAGAGCAGCATGATTGACTTAAGTATTAACTCAATTATTTGCCTCTGAAGTACTCAAGTTACTAACCAGTCAATCAACTAAATAAACATAGAAATTTCTTTCCTACCAGGGTAACTGGTAAGCTGTTGCTTTTATTTTTTCCTATAATCTACCTACCTATTATCTATTATCTATCTCATGTTTCTTTCATTTCTTCATCAGCTATCTTACAGTTCTTTCTTGACCACAGTTTTATGTTACTTTGCTGTAAATCTAATCTCCTACTCAAAATACAAACCACAGAAAGGAAGCTTAGATGAGCAGTGTAACCTAGCCATCAGTCCTATGTGATAACCATTCACAAAGACAGGACGCATTGCAGATGTATTTTCTGAAAAATAAAAGTTTAAAATGAGGTTATGTTTGTTTTATTTTTTTTAGACTCCACATGTAAGTGATAGTATTTGTCCCTATCTAACTTACTTCATTAAGTAGGTCTATCGATGTTGTGGCAAATGGCAAGATTCAATTCATTTTTCATGGCTGACCAATATTCCATTGCCTGCAATGTGTATATGTATATATCTCACATCTTCTTTATCCATTCATCTGTCAGTGGACATTTAGGTTGCTTCTTTATTTTGGCTATTGCAAATAACTATACAGCATAGAGACTATAACCAATATTTTATAATAACTTTATATAGTGTGTAATCTATAAAATATCAAATCACTATGTTGTACACCTGAAACTAATATAACTTTGTAAGTCACTGTCAATTTTTTAAAAATGACAATGAGATTATGTTCAATGTATTTTAATAAGTGTATTTTACATTATCATCATTCTCTTGTAATACGTAATCCTTACAGGGTATGTATGATTCTCAATTCTAGATCATTCCATCCCCCTCTGTTATGTTAAATGGGAGATGATTGTTTTATATAATTAAATGCTCTAAAATACCATTGACAGCCACTACTCATTTCTAAGTGTTGTGTCAATTATGTACTTTTCATCTCCTGGGCTCCAGTCTGAAGAGGACAAGCCCAGAGGGCACTGCACACTCTAGGATCCATGCCCTTTTTGTTTCTCTCTCCAACGTTCTGCCGTGACCTTTGTGCTGCTTTCCCTTTTAAAGGACTGGCATCAGCCCTGGAGTCTGGAAAACAGAGTTCTGGGCTTTAGTCCATCTCTTTGCACCACAAGTTGTCTGACAGACAGGGACATTTTTCTGAGTTGCCTCTATGCTAAATAGAATATGTATTTCAACCACAGAAGGCCACAGTAGGGGGGAAATAAAATATAAAGAAAACGGTATGAAGTTGTGTGATTCTTTGACTATTTGTTAACTGAAATGAAAACGATGAAAGGCAGGAAATGAGGGAATGTCGGCCACAGACAGCAGCGGGAGGCAGCAGTGATTTCATCTAAGCTGAACACTGGTTTCACGCCATTGGAAGAATATTTTCTTTAAGTCCCTTCTCTCTCTCTCATTAGGAACTCATGGCTACATGTAAAACAGTGGAAATACTGCTTACAGAGGCAAAATGTACATCGGTGTGCTAGCTTTTCTGAGGATAATTCTAAAAAAATGCACTAAGTACTGTTAGAATGGAATGAAACTCTACTATTCCTTCTGGAAGTTAAGAAAAAATGTGTAACTTTTTGTTAAGGAAGTTAAGAAAATATGGAGAATGGAAATACTTTTCATTCATACTCACAAAAAAAAAGACTTTTTTCTTGACGGGTAAGGGGATGATTGTTTAAGAGATACTTCAAAATGAACCAAATATTGGATACTGTAAGATCAATAGCTGGCATCACCAGTTCAATGGACATGAACTTGGGTAAACTCCAGGAGATGGTGAGGGACAGGGAAGACTGGTGTGTTGCAGTCCATGGGGTTGCAGAGTCAGACACGACTTGGTGGCTGAACAAGATCAACATTAGTTTCAAGATGGAATTGTGCTGCTGCTGGTGGTAGTAATTTAGTTGTGATCGATTTTTTGTGACCTCTGGACTGTAGCCTGCCAGGCTCCTCTCTCCACGGGATTCTCCAGGCAAGAATACCAGAGTAGGTTGCCATTTTCTCCTCCAGGGGTTCTTCCTGATGCAGGGATTGAATCCGGGTCTCCTGCATTGCAGGTGGATTCTTTACTGACTGAGCCACCAGGGAAATCCAAGATGGAATGAGGCATATTAAATATGTATCTCAAGTTCACTGTATATGAGAGATACATGATTGAAAACCTGCATTCCATATCATTTTATAAGCCGAAGTATATTTTGCATACTAAGAGAAATTGATGCTCAGAGGAATGTTTCGTACCAGTAATCCTTTTACTAATTTAGCTCTTTTGCAAATTTCAGCATAATAATATGGACATTTGGCTAGTGCAACAACAACAACAGTTAGTAATGTTGATTTGTGCTAGAGTGGGAATTGTACTAACTGGAGTTCTACTGCTGATCTAACCACAAAATAGCCACGTAATCTTGGATAAACTGACTTCGTTGGACTTGTTTTCTTATTTGCCAAACGACGATCTCAAAGTTCCTTGCTGTGCCAATATGAACCAGTTCTGAGAGTTGGCTAAGCACCTCTGCTTTAGTATCCAGTTGAGACAATTAGTTCTGAGTGTGTCTCTTTCTTAGTATGAGTTTTTCCAATCAGAGGGAACTGTAATTCAGGTAGGGAGAACCAGTCACAAAATCAGAGCACCAGTGGGTACAGTATGTCTCCCACTTCCTACTTTCATTTGTGTCTGAGCCTTAATCCATTCAAACAGAGCGCGGTGCCTCCTAAGTAGTAATAGTTTCCCTCTCTCTCTCCAACTGCCCCCAACACACACAGGTGTGCACGCACCCACAAGCACACAAACACACCACAACTGTACACGATCTAAGTCTTCGTCTGTATTCTCTATCACGATCAGCATTTTCTGAAGGTAGTATGACTCTGCGAGGTAGAGACTCAGTTCTTTTTTGGAATCTAAACGGGACACGGAAGCTGTTCCACACCCAGGAAACTGCTGCCACTTCCATCACGCAGGGAGTTGTCTTGGTTAGATGGTCCAGTCCCAAATTCTATAGGCTTCAGTGTATGTATGTCTGTGTGTCTGCGTGCCTGTGTGTGTGCGTACGTGCTTAGTCATGTCTGACTCTTCTCTGTCTATGGGATTTCCCATGTTAGAATGCTGGAGTGAGTTGACATTTCCTTCTCCAGGGGATCTTCCCAATGCAGGAATCAAATTGGAGTCTCTGGCGTTTCCTGTACTGGCAGGCGGATTCTTTAGCACCACCTGGGAATGAGTAGTTTCTAAATGCAATTCACAGACCACTTCTGACCTCTGACAAAGATTTCACTGGTCCATGGTGAAATGAGAAAAATTTAAAGAAAAATAACATTGTCCAAAGTCAAGGGCTGATTTTTTTTCCTTAGATTATATCCTTCAAAACACGTGGATGTTAACAATCGTTCCTTCTTATACGAAAATGGAAGTGCCACTAGAATTTTTAATTCTCCCTCACCTTCTGAGCCCTCCATCTGTAATTGGAATTCCTATGATAGTTCCTCTCCTTAAAAAAAAAAAAAAAACCCACCAAAATCTAAAAGTTTGAAAATCACTTGTGCTTGTACTAGCAAACAATTTCTTTACAGAAATATCTCAGAGCAATAGATATTCCAGGGCTGTTAATATGCTGAAGGATGTTCACAGTCTTCAGTTTCTCATGGAGCAAAAATTCCGTTACAGGTTGAAAAACAGCACCATGCTTTTGAGGACAGCTCTGGATTCAGAATTCAAATCTGTTTTTTACAAATAAGCTACTTTGCTTTCAAAGGTAGCTTTCCTTTTGGGTGGTGGTCTTGAAACTCTCTAATAGTATGAAGTTATGCCCAGGAAGGGCTTTCCAGGTGGCAATAATGGTAGAGAACCTGCCTGCCTATGCAGGAGATACAAGAGACTCAGGTTTGATCCCTGGGTCCATAAGACCCCCTGAAGGAGGGCATGGCAACCCACTCCAGTATTCTTCCCTGGGAAATCCCATGGACAGAGGAACCTGGCAGGCTACAGTCCATAACGTTGAAAAGAGCAGGACATGACAAGATGCGAAATAGCACATATGCATGCATGCCCAGGAAATGCTTGGTTCATCTTGAATCAAACCGATTGGAACTCCTCTAGGCTAGAACATTAGTGACTTCTTGTATATGAGTGTACACATACACACACACACACACATCCAGTTTCCAGGGTGACTGAATGAAAGCCTCACCTGGGAGTGAGTCATCTATCTGATACGCCTAAAGTCAGATGAGCCCCCTTGTTGCCTAGCAGCTGCAATTCTTGTGGAGCAGAACAGTACAAGGTCACTCAATAAAGTTTCATTATTCATAGTCAAGGAAGCCCATGGTACAAATAACTGGTGCAGGAGATTTCTATTAATAGCATTTGTTTTTCAGAAGGAATAAAACCAAAGGGAAAATGGTTGACCTAAGACTAATTAAAAAGCAACATTAGTTACTGGAACAAATCTCAGACAGCATTCAAAAATTTTTAAGATCATCTTTTAGAAGCTTCATCTTTTGTTGAGTTGTACTGGTATAGATAAATAAAATTAGTATTTTTCTATTAAACTCCCATAAATTAAGGTTCTAAGGGGCTATAATCTTTATAAAGCTTATTTTTACATAAGTAATTAAATTATAAGAGGAGAGTAAGCATTTACATAGATGGGGTAAACAACAGATAATGATTTTTTTCAAACCAAGTACAATGTTTTAGATACAAATATATCCTCTTAAGCTTAAACTGTGGCTATATTAAAACCATGTCAAAAATTATTGATGTTGAAAAACCCCTTATTTAAAATCAAAACAAGAGAAGACTAATAAATGTAGAGACATGCTATTCTCTTAGATTAAAAGAACGAATATCATAAAGCTGTGAATCTTCTCAAAGGAAGGTACAATTTTAATGCAATTCCAATCGAAATTATTTCATGCTATTGATATAGTTTTAAAAATTGACCTGGAAGAATAAACTAGAGATAGGAGTCCAGATAATTTTGTTAAAAAGTAAAGAAGAAAGGCTTTCTCTACTTAGTATCAACATGTCCTAAGGAACATACAATTATCAAAAGAGTGTGGTACTGGCATTGGACGTGAAAAGCAAACCTAGAATTGCATCCTTGTGTACATGATTCCATGTATTTTTAAAAGGCAGCATTGAAAATAGTGGGGAAAGTGGAGATAATTTAGTAAGTCATAGGAGGACAGTTGGTCAACTCTTTGGGAAAAATGTTGCATCTTCACCTTGTACTTCTCACCACAATAAATTCTATAGATTAAAAAGTTAGAAATTAGATAAACTATAAGATCACTCTCTATCCCCTCTCCTGTTCAGTTTCCCTTCATGGTACTTATCACTGTTTGACATAGATTTGTTTACTGACTCTTCTCTCTTCACTATACTGTAAGTTTAACAAAGCCCATGCTTTCCCCTTCTGCCTATTGGTTTATCCTCAGCACCTCAGATCATTTAACTCATAGGAGGCATTTAATACACATTTGTGGGATGAATGAGTGAAAGCAACGAAAGGAGCTCATAGGGCAAAGAAAGCCCCCTTTTAAGCCGGATGGTGTAAACTTGTAGTAACAAACACAAAAACAGAAAAGAAACTGGGAAACGTCTTTGCCCATTTCATCATTCTGCATGAGGCCAGCTTGGTCTGGGACACTGTGCTTGGTAATAAAATGATGTATGCCTTTCCTACTTCCTCTGGATTTCGACGATGTTGACCTTTACAAAACCAACTAGGGTCCCAAATCATAACAAACAAAAATTCAAAGGCTTAATTCAGAGTCAAACTTTAGCTCAATTTGAAACCCATGGATTTTCAGTGTTATTTTGAAGATGAGAACTAAATAAGAGAGCCAATAAGGACTCTGCTAAATACAGTTGATGAATACTTCATCCATCAATATTATTGCTACTTTCAAGATCTACAGATATCAACTTTTGCCTCTTTTTTATATTTTAAATAGGCTTAAATTGGATCACTGGAGAGAAGAGGGGGGAGAAACATGGTTTACTTATACATTTTACCAAAATGAGCATTCACAAGCTTTATATTACTATTAGTCTCTTCTCCCCATGTCCTTCTCTCCCAGACCCAATTAGCCACATCCATTGCATCCTCTTTCTCCCACTAGAATGATGCTACATTTCCTGATGGAAGAGCATCACGTTGTACCCACTTCCTTCTTGTCTCAGGTTTGACCAGATTTCTTCATCTATGCATTAAAATCCTGCAGAGTTCTAAGCACAGACAGCATACAACACACATCCATCTTCTTACAGGGCCCTTTGCGTGACTTGATAAAGCACTTCTCAAACAGCTGCAAGATGCTTAAAAATGTTGCAACAGAAAATGCCATTTTCTCTTTTAGGTCAAAACTTTGATTGGAGAGGAGGATGAAACAAAATTTGACCTACCGAGGGTGGGATCATATTCCCAGATGAACCGTTTGGTCAAAAATCTCACTACAAGAGCTGTGGGAAAAAAGAACAACATTTCAATCAAATTTGTTCATTTTCTTAACAGCTTTTAACCCTCCTCCAGAAAGAGGACTAGCCCATAAAACTATATGCGTTTTATGGTTCCTTGGCAAATAAACTCAATATATCTATTTACGTTTATTCAAATATTTTAAAATTTCATATTGTGGTCTAAAAATTGGTATAATGTTTTCATGGTTTGTTTTACCTTAATGAACAGTTTAGATTTTTTCCCTTGGATCCTGGAATTGAAAACATCACAATGTGAAAATGCACACATACTCAATTTTTAGCAAAACAATGAATTCAACCATAAAACATCACAATGCTGGTGTCTAAAGTTTAAATACTGATAATGATTGATACAGGTCAGTGAAAATGTGATTATTTTTACCGTAATGAAAAGATATTTGTATTATGCTGCTGCTGCTGCTTAATCGCTTCAGTCATGTCTGACTCTTTATGCAACCCTATGGACTGTCCCGTGCCAGGCTCCTCTGTCCCTGGGATTCTCTAGGCAACAGTTCTAGAGTGGGTTGCCATGCCTTCATCCAGGGGCTCTTCCTGATCCAGGGATAGAACCTGGATCTCCTGCATTGCAGGCAGATTCTTTACCACTGAGCCACCAGGGAAGCCCCATTTTTATTATAAAAATATTCAAAATTAAGGATTTTATTAGTGAATCATTAAAGCACATCAAAAGTAAAGCTGATGAGGTAGTTGTAGAAAGAATCGGAATCTGGAATTATGTGAAGCACCTCACTGCCATGATCTCCTCGACCAGGACTTCATCCCTGTGAGGCAAGTACTAGGATTGACCCCATTTTTCAGGTAAGGAAACTGAGGCTCTGAGAGGTTAACTCATTTAACTAAGCTCATCTAGCCAGTTAGTGGCTGAGCCAGGATGTGACTCCAAAAAGGCTATTTCCAAAACCTGTAATTTCTTCATTGTCTAAAACTGGTTTTAAGGCCGAGGCTATCTGGCTAATACTTAACTAGAAGATGAGTCAGACAAAGAGTGATGCTGAAAATGGTGGATTCTATTGTCCTTAAAAAACTGATGTGACAAATGCTGGACATTTTCTTAGACTTGTATTATAGTTGAAAACAATGGTTTTTAATCTACCAAAAAAAAAGTTTTTTTTGGAGGAGAGCATCACTGATACTTTAAAAATAGAATGAAAGCTTTGGATTCTTTCCCTGGAAATACGTATATACACACAGTCTAGCATATAATTTCAACAGGCTCACTAGCCCTTTGAATACCCTCATGGTCTTCCTGGGATCTCACTGACCCTAACTAAAGAATCAGTGTTTATTGAAATTACATTATTTTAAAAATATCTATTAGGGTAGTTTTATTTTTACTGAAATGCCCTGTATGTGCTATTCTAAAGATACTCTTTGGAGAAATAAGACTATTTAATTGAAAGGCACTGTCAATCTTTCCTCTTCCTACTGCCTCTGTTAAAATCAACAGAGGTATATACTCCCTACCACGGTGGCCTATATGAGAGATTGCAGTGCAAATAGCAATGAAAACTTCATGAGACAGACCACAAGGATACGTGGCTTGGCTGTAGACTGAAAGCTGCAATGTTCTTTCTAATTACAGAGTGTGAGGATGGATTTGAGCCAAAATATTTGCAGTGCCAAAAGTAGCAAGGCCACTGACCCTATGGGTGCTTCCCACAGTGCATGTACTTGTGGTTTTATCTTCAATTTGCAGAGTCTGTCACCATTCACTCTCTTGAGACTGAGTCATTTAAAATTTTTTTTGCATGTAGGAAGTAGGAAGCTCCAGATAGAATTTTTCTGCTTTTCAATTGTCAGTGTTAGTAAACATAACTGCCTGCAGTATTCAAAGTGTTTCACATTTTTGCTGGAATATGAAGTTTTAGCTTGGAAGTTTGTGACCTAGCAAAATTCATTTATCTGGCATCTTTAAGCCATGAGATATTAAAATTAACAAAATTTCTCATAAACTGAAGTTTAAAGTACCCTGGTTCCTAGACCACTTAAACTTTAATAATTTCTCAAAGAAATCTTTCTAAAATATTTTAGACATGCCATTACCTTTTAAAACCTAGTATACTGAATAGAACTAAATCACTTTTAAATGTCTAGATCTTAGTTAAGAATCTATTCGTGCCCTGTGTAGTTGTGGAAATACTTCTAGAAGTTGAAGAGTGGTAGAGGCAGAACAATTCTAAAGTGCTATGGTTCTTGAATGATTTTAGTTTTCAGTTCTAATATATTTTTCATATTCTGTGTGTTCTCAGTCATGTCTGACTCTTTGCAACCCTATGGACTGTAGCCCACCAGGCTCCTCTGTCCATGGGATTTTTCAGGCAAGAATACTGGAATGGGTTGCCATTTCCTTCTCTAGGGAGTCTTCTTGACCCAGGGATTAACCCCCATCTCCCAGTTCTCCTGAATTGCCAGGTGGATTCTTTCCACTGAGCCACCTGGGAAGCCTGCATAACATGTGACAGGCATTAGGCAAAAGGAGAAGAGGGCAGCGGAGGACGAGATTGTTAGACAGCATCACCAACTCAATGGACATGAATCTGAGCAAAATCTGAGATAGTGAAGGACTGGGGAGCCTGGTGTGCTGCAGTCCAAAGCCAAGGGGGGGGCGGATCCCAAGAAGTTGGACACGACTTAGGGATTGAGAAACAACAACAAATAATCCAGTAAACAATTGAGACAAAGATTTTTGAACATACCAAGCTTATATTCTACTAGGAGACAGATTAAAAAAAATTATATAGTCTGTTAGAGGTGATAAGTGCTAAGGGATCAAAGAGGGAGAGTAAGGTAAGGGGGACTCCACATTGGGAGATGAAGGAGTGAGAGGTGCTGTTTAAGATTGGGTAACCAGGGTAATTCTTGCTGAGAAGGTGATAGAAGAAAGAGATGAGGGAATATATGTGGGGGGAATAGTATTTCAAAGGGAGGAAACAGCCATTGCAAAGGTCCTAAAACCAGAATATGCACTTGATATGCTCAAGGAATATTAAGCAAGCCAGTATGGCTAAAGTATAATGAGCAATAGTGAGCAAAGCTGATTAGATTATTTCCTTCAGTCATGCCTTCCCCTTCCATAAATCTACCATCAGCATCACTGCCATCACTACCCTCACCACTACTACTAATAATTAAAATGACTAAATTGCTTCTTTGTTATTATCATTATTGTTATCATTTTACTTGATTCCTTCTTTAGAATGTATATTTCATGAAGGCATGGGATCTGCTGTGTTCATCACTATTTTCTAGTGTCTGGCACATGTAGACTTAAAAATATTAATACTTGCTGAATAGAAGAAAAAAGATGTACCAATCCACCACTCATTCTTCTTAATAGTTAAGTAATAACCAGGCATCAAGAGAATAAGCAGAAAAATTAACCCAAGAGAATTCACAGCAGAATCATGCTATAATGTTTTCCTAAAATGTCATGTAAATATACAAGCTGAAATGTCTATTTTATGATGCTTATACAAATTACATTTCTTAAAGTTTATTAAAACTGTAAAATTGATCTAATTATCTTTTAAATATTCTGTGGTTTCCATCCCAACAATCCCGAGCAAAGGTCTTCTTTTGATGTAAAATGGTGGTATTGATAGCAATTATTTCCACTAAGAGTCTGACATATGTTTTTTTTTTCCCTAAGTTTTAAGGTTTGACATATTTGATTAGTTACAAGTAAGTCTCTGTATTATAAAATATCTTATTTTCTTCCCATTGCCTTGAAAACCCATACCTTTCCATTAAATAAGTAAAAAAATCTCTAATTTAGAGAGTAACATTTTCCTCATTTTGCCTAAATTATAACCTACTTGGGTAATTCTTCTTTACATGTGGTTTATTTTTGGAATTCCTGGCACTAAATTTCATAATTATCAATGAAAACTAGTTTCCAATGAAATGGAAAATTCACTAAGCAGAATTTGATCCAAAGAAATATTACTAAAAGTGACATCAAGGTAATAAATAAATAGGATAAAAATTCTGTTTAAAAGCAAGAGCTAGCAGGCAAAATTTCTACATTAAAATAGTCAAACTATTTCTAAAGGTTAACAAGGCTGTGCCAGTTATTCAAAATAATTCCTGATGTCATTATCACAATGAGGCAGACATCAGAAGTAGCAGCTTTAAGGATTAGAATAATATTTTTAAATGAAAAATGGCCAGATATAATCTGTGCAATAAACTAGCTTTTAAAAAGAAGTGAACTTTTCAAAGTAAATGAAAACTAACACCTATGATATTCTTCCACTCTAAAAACAGTTAAGAGATATACTCAAAAGACATTCAGAAAGAACTTTCAATGGCTACTTTTGAGCTCATATTCTTTAAAAAAAAAAACCCTATTATATCATTATTTTTCACTTATACAACCATGAAATAGCCTAATTAACAAGGTATCTGATTCAGTTGTTTCATAAGACACTCAGGCGTACTCAACCCCCTAAATATTTGTGATCATTGTCATTTTTACATTCTCTTAAAGACGTATTCTTATTATTAAAAGTCTAGTCTTTTTGTCTGAAACTTTTATCTCTTTATGGATGTGTATTGAATGTGTTCTCAGTTAAAGCAGTTGCCAATTACTTGTCCTCTTCAAACTCTGGCTTTCTCAAGAATAATATAAGGATAAGAGCATCACCCTGTAGCTCCTGGATCCTCACACTCATCTCCTCTGCAACATGAATTTCAGTCACTTTTCATAGCACTCCTTGCATCACCCCAGAAGATGGATTGTACTAAACTAACATCATACAAATTCATCTCTTAATGTTTCTAATCACATTGTTACTGCTGCCTTGAAAGTCTTTATCCAGCTAGTGAAATCCCAATCATCCTTCAAAATCTAACCCAAATATAACCTTCTGTACGAAACCTTTCCTTTCTGTATCAATTAGCAATTGCCATGTAACAAATATATTTCAAAACTCAGCAGCATATAACAATAAGCATTTATT